ATAATAAAATAAATAATAAAATACAATATCGAAATAATAAACTAATAAAATAATAAACTGTTCTATAACAATACTTTTTTAAAGGCTTTGGGTAATCTATTTTTTTTTGAAATATGACTGAATGACTAAATATACTTAAAGCTTTCGCACTATATTTTAACAATATTCAAGAATTCAAAAAGATTTAGTTGATCTTATATTGTGATTTATTTAGCAAAAATATATCTCAATATAAGAAATATATAAAATGTAAAACTAATAAATCATACAAATTTTGTTTATTAACAGAAAAAAATAAAAAAAAGCTAATACTAGTGATTTAATACAGGCTATTTAGAAAAAGATAATTATTTATATTACAATTGTTATATAAATTATATAGAGAATCAATTAAAGAAAGTTAAATATGCAAAAGTCTTGATTAATAAAATTGAAGCTAATATAGATATAGATATAGTTGAATCTAATATAGATGTAGCTGAAGCTGATGTAGATATAATTGAAGCTAATGTAGTTAAAAATTTAGAAAATGTAGTTGAAGTAGAAAATATAGTTAAGACAAAAGATATAGTTGAAGAAATACATGTAGTTGAAAAAGTAAATATAGTTAAATCCAATTTAGATATAGCTAGATCTGATGTAGATTTAGTTAAAACTGATATAGTTAAAAATATTTAGTTAAAAAAAATGATAATATAATTGAAATAAATATAAAAGACATAATTAGACAAGAAATAGAAATTAAAATTAGTAAAAATACAAAATTGAAAAATATAGAAACTACAATAAAAAAGAATGTAGATGCTATAAATAAGAAGATAAATATAATTAACTTCATTAAAAATATTAGATTTATGATATGAATTTTTTATAAAAGAGGAAAAAAGATCCTATATATTTATTTAACAAAATGCAAGAATTACTTTTACAAATTAATCCAAGCTTGAAAAATTTTTTGGTTACTTTATTTATTAGTACAGTATTTAAATGTTATGAGAAAACAATAAGTGTATAAAAAGATTAATAGTTTTTTTATTTCATTTTCTTGTATTGTTAAATAATTTTAAAATTAATTTATTTAAATTTGATTTAGTATACTATTTAGATTCAGTAAATACAAGTAATAAGAGTTTAAATATATTGGCTAATATTAATATAACTATAATAATAAAGTTGGTAAACTATAAAAAACAACAAATTTTGGATGTTTATAAGAAATATATTAAGAAAGTTTTAGAAAATTGGCTAAAAAATATATTTGTGTTAAATATTGTTAATTATCATAATATTTATACTCCAAGACAACCTGATACTACTAGTACTTTTTAGACTATATATATAGCAATAACCACAACAAATCTGTGTTATATATTAGCCATACTATATTATAGAGCATTTAATCCAAAAGTTATCTTGACAAATGATTTATTAAAAATTTAGAATTTTCTATAATAATTATTAGCAAAGTTATATAGGTAAATCTTTTGATAATAAGCTGGTTAAAAAGCTAATATTGCATAGTTATGATAATAGGTTAACCAAAAAAAAATAATAGACATATACAGAATATTATTTTTTTTGATCTTGTTAAAAAAATTTAAAAAAAGTCAATGATTATATAAAAGCTTTTCAAATTATATATAATTAAAGTCTAATATAAGAGTATCTTTTTAAATACATAATTCTAATTATTGCAAACTGGCTTAAGTAATTTTTTATTTGCAAAGCCATTATGTATTGGCTTTTTTTTAACAATAAAGTTATTATTCTATTTGTTATAGTATTTTTACTAATAATAGGATCTCTATATATCTCTTTGAATAGTCATAAACTTATTTTTTTAAAAAATTTATTTTTATTTAATGATATTTATAAAGATATATTTGTACAAAAGAAAAATCTTGATAAAAAGCTATAACCATGGAGAATTTAATTTAATTCTTTATATTATATAAATAATATAGCTTAAAATTAGTAATATTGTTTACTTAAAATTTGGTTATATATATAAAAATATTAAATTCTTATATTTAACTAATCTTTTGAATAATTTAATTTCGGTTTGGGTCTCATAGCTTATTGGTTAAGCTCTCAAAACCTCACAGACTAGATCAATGGTTTGAGTCAGGCTAGAGACAAATTTTAATAAAATTTGTTTCTATAACCTACGGAGGCTATAATCAAATACAAAGCCCTGTAGAAAAGTTCAAGTGCAGTATGAAACCAGAATAAAAAGTTTTCAAAAGGAGACTAGGTTATGAAGTGAAGGCACTATATGTGATAGCAGTGTTACAGAAGATTTAGGCAATAGAAGATTACATGTGTAAGTCCTCTAGTTGGAGTGACTCAGAGCAACACCAACATCCTATCATCACCATATTTGACAATACCAATATTCCTATAACCAACCTGTGGACTATTTGCTTAAAAAGATGATCAATGGATTGTACATATAAATCTTAATATGAAATGGCATTGGGTACATACTTAAAAGGAAATACAATACTATCAAAAACTAGAGTAGTGAGAGAAGCAGTAATATATAACTATGGGCTATAGTAAAGAATTATGTCTTAACTAGAATTGAAAGCACCTTTGGCACCAGTAAAATGACTATAGAAGACTACTTGGCATAGAGAATATAACCTACCTCTATATAACTAAAAGTATCAATTCAGAGCTCTGGTCATACCTATATGAAACATCAGCAAAATTTAAAAGGTGCTATATATCGATAGTAATCCCCTAGATTACAATCGATATACAACCTCCCTGCCGATTATTATATATAACAAAAAATTCGTTAAATTTTTTTAAACTTTAACGTTAATTTTCTCGATAACTATCGATCCAAATTAGCT